GCCTCTTCCGTCGTATCTTTTTTGCTATCTCTTTTTTATCCTCGTCCGCCAACATGGCCTTATCTACCATTTTTAGAAAGGTTTAGACGGCCGACATTCGTATCATACTTCGAACTCTTGGGCTTAGCCCTCCTAGGAATCGGTTCTTTTTTAGATTTTTGTCCCCCGTTATGAAAGGACAAATCGACACCCTTGTTTAAACTTTCACATATATTCACCTATGGATATACCCTTTTGTTTCGGCTCTAGAAATTCCCGAATTTTTCTAGCCCTCACATTAGCCGTAAAGTACTTATTGTAAAAGATCTTCTTAAATCCTTTCCATGTTAAAGTAGGCATGTCTACTCGTTAGTCATACGCTTTCTCACTAAGTACGGGCATCTTTGGTGAGCATAAAGATAATGCATTACACGGGCTCGTTATTGGTGAATTATAGGTATTCAAATATGGCCTCTAGGGACTTGATCCATTCCTCGCCTACTAAAGGATTAACACCCCCAAGCAAATCTTGGGGATTCATTTTACGAAAGCGTTCCATTGCTTCATTCCTATGTTGAGATGGAGGTAGTCGTTGTATCGCTAGGAGTCGTCTTATTTGCTCCGCATGGGTTTGTTGTTATTCTTGCATTGCTTGTTGTTATTGTTGCATTAGGTATATCGGAGATTCATAGCGTCTTGTGGATTCTCATTATTAGTACCAAAGGTTCCTTCCCTCCTCGCTCGTACAAAATTCCATCTTGACATGCTTTGACTTTGTATATGTCACGTTACGTTCGATTAGTTTTTGTATCAAAAATCTTAATGTTATACGTCACACCATAGAAAATAGCTAAGAATATATAGATAACGAATCATAGATACATGTTCAACATTCATAGTGACATATACAAGTTACATCTAAAAGGTTTCATGCCATAGTTATATGCAAAAAGGGCATCTCTAGTTACAAAAAGGCATGTCTAATTACATCAAAAGGTGCACGAAAGGTACTATACCGTGCAACATGTTTCCTTGGCACACATCTACTCGATCGGGTTAACATAGCGGATGCATCATGGAAAGGAGTACTCTACTTTCCACCGTTAATGGCGTCAACCGATGCGATCCGTGCAATCTCGCGAGCTAGGTGCAAAGGTAGACCCTAGTTATACGAGTAACCTAGTCGGGGTCCATCTAACTTGTATTGGCGGGAAGACTCATATCACGTTGTAATAAGAATATCACTCGATCATGTTCTCCCAAAAAATGTCCAAGTAACTATTGATCTCTTAGCGGAAGAGTCCGACGCATGGTCAACATCAAAAATTCTACACTACGGTATAGGTCAAATGAGGCATCAACGAACACTATTTGTTGAATCGGATCATGGACTCGGATCACATGTGCCACCGGATCTTAGTCCGGGGCCATGGTGAGGCCGTTTAACTCAGCCCAAGTATGCGGCGAGGGTGGCTCGCCGGCGACATGTCTTAGCGATGTAGGAAACACAAAAAAGGTAAGACATCTACAATATAAATACTTACTATTAACCATATTTCCAAGAAATGATGATATATGACATAAAATACACATTAAACACACATATTTATTAGAGACCAAGAAGTAGAGTTTACTTATTGAGTAGCACGTCGGTCCTCGTGCTCATATGACACTTAGGTTTCTAACCGATTATCTAAACCAAAGCTTTGATACCACCTCTATGGCGCCCCAGCTCCCTTACCGATTACCTAAAAGGCGTGGCTAAGTTTGTCATAGTTTAGAGACTAACATCTCAAATTTACTCCCATACAACATGCATAATATACCGAATATCGTTACAAAAGTTTCAAAATATAATTTACAAGCACAAGGGACTCTTATATTTTTCGTGTCATATATGAGCTCTTTTCTAGGAGGAATTGGCATCTTCATTATCGACTTTATTATAGTCTTTACTCGTCATGGCATGAAATAAATACGAGTGAGTCGAAGCTTAGTAAGTAAGGTGATGCACGTGATATGTAATGATTTTCTAACTCTCCTACTTTGACTCATCAAATTTTACTTCGGGTACCTTGGGTATTAGCAAATCCGCTCTATTTTCATATCTCGGTGATTGTCGAATCACCTATAGCTAATAATAGAATTATCCCTCGTTGTAGCCTCGGTTAGCGGAATTATCCATTGCCTACCTAGGTATAGTCACACGGATTAGCCACACGGAATAGAGCACGTACACAACTTCGGTGCTAATACTCGTTTAATCTAGTTAGGTTACCAAACCTATCTAATTCAATCTAATTCGGTTACCAAACCTCATCGCTTCGACTCAATTATTTTTCTCAATTTAATCCATTCCCCGTATGCATATGATGCACATGATGTATAATTAACCACATTCCACTAAAATATAAGTACTAAACCCATCGATTCCATACCATCAAGGTCATACAAGGAAAACAAGATCCGTCTAATCCATTTCGGTATTTAACCCTAGGAATGCATCGAGGCATATTTGTAGTGAGTTTTTCTTTCTAACACAAATTTGGGCCTTAAAAGCCGAACTTTATTTTTTTATTGGATCTACGTCTTAATGATTGTCTTGCACTCTTATCTTCTCATATTTTATTTTATATTTATTTAGGTGTCTTTGGGCCATTTCATGTAGAGTTGGGTGTTTGGGACTCAATTTGTAAAAAGTCGAGTTTAGACCGAGTGTTTCCTAGTCTAAACCAAAATTTTTATTTTTCTTAGAGTCTAACCTTTCTACACTTTATTTTATACTTATTTAGGCATATTTAAACCATTTATTCGCAAATAGGATGAATGAAACTCAAAACCTAAATTTTAAGGTGTTTAGTCGAATGGGTCCAAAAAGGGTAAAGGTTTGTCTTTTGTTCCTAAGTCATTCCTTTCCATCATAACTTACTAAATTATCCTTAAATGGGTTACCTTGGAGGTCTAGATTTTTAAGTCCATAAACATAAATTCAAACTTGGCCATTTTAGTACCAAGGTCCAATGAGTTTCTTTAGGATATCCAAGCTCATTTTGTTTTAATCCAAGCCCATCCACACACACTTTTCAAGCCCATATGGTTGTAACCAAACCAACCCATCCACATATGTATAAACATCTATCATCATACTTATACATTCTAACACAAAGTTCACCATGAAATGCACATCAAAACAACCATACTAGATTCATCACAAAACATAACATCAACACAAGCTACCATAATAACATATTACATAACTTAAAACAAAACCCATAAATTGCATATGTAGAATAGAACTTAAGGCATAAATAAAGCTAAAATAAAACCTACTTACAATGATATATGCTTACTCAAGATTTTCTAGACTTTTTCTTCTTTTTCTCCTTTCTTTCTTTCCTTTCTTTTCTCTCTTTCTTTTCTCTCTTTCTTTCCCCTCAAAGCCGGTTCTCTCCTCTCGTGGAAGCTACAATTTTTGTCTAAAAAAATGGCAAGGTTTCAAGCTTTCTTACATTTTTATATCACACTTTTTCCCTTCGTTTATTAGCATTCCAAATGTCAACAATTTGTGGTAAAATAAGGTCAAATGATGGGATTAAATGGGAGGCAAGTTGACAATTTAAAAATCAAAGTGGGCTAGGTGTCACAATTTAGAAAAATGTGGTAGATTTGGTGTCAAATCAAGAACTAAATATGTGAACTAAAAAAGTAACTAAAATAACTAAACTAACCAACTTCCTTACCTCATTTGGTTCCCCAAAAATTCGGCCATGCACCTTATTTGAGACATTCTTTCACTTGCATGATCATTTTAAATACAATGTTATGAAAAAATAAATCATGGCTAACTAAATTCCCAAAAAGGTTATTCCCATGAACACTTCCACAAACATTAAATATTCTAACATCACAAATATAAAAGAAATGGAACATAATTTATATTCACATAACTTTGGATATTCCATGAGATATTTTTCTCGGGAATTCACATTTGCGGCATGCCGAAATAAAAAATATATTTTTTTCAATTCTATGTCTCCTTACCAAATATGAACATGACACATAAATCATAATTTAAACTCGGTAGATGCAAATAGAATTATTTCAATACATATAGCTATGTTAAGAAATTTCGGGAGGGTTACATCTATCTTGTGTAATAATATGTCTTTATATAAGACAGAAAAAGAAAATACGGTTTTTTATTTTTTATTTTTTTTATGCATACATCTTATAAAATAACATGTCTTTATTTATAGACTTGAAATAACAAAATGAAAATATATCACCGTTAATAAATCGGATATGTGTTTTTGAATTAAACTAAATAATTTATTCCAAATAAAATAAAATAATTTATTTGAATAGGCCATTCCAAATTAAACTGAATAAATAATTACAGTTTTATTCTAACATTCACATCTATCAATAAATTAATTACATAAATAATTAAAAAAAAAATCTATAGACCATTACAAACACTTTGGAGAAGATCATTGCATATTTCTTTCTTCCTATTTCATTACAAACTACACTAATAAAAAAGTAAGTGCACAAATGGATTCAACATGCAATCTAACCCCATATCCCATAGCATGCATATGTTTGGAGATTTAGAAGGGAGATTTAAATCTAAGACGTTAACAGCATAGGGAATATTCGCTCATTGAAGGAAGACAGCATAGGCAAGGTAGTAGATTAACGAATAATAATCTAATAACAAAGGAGTAAATAAAAAATAGGAGTATATTAACCCATAGCATTTAGGGAGAATCGAGAAGGCAGAAAGAGAGAGGCAAAAGGCAAAGGGACCTGTCCTTTGCTACCCTCCAAAGGATCACTCACTTCCTCCCTCCCTCACTTCCTCACTCACAAATCAGTCAAACAATCAACTCTTTGCTCTTCTTCATATGCATGATCCAACCCCCTATAATTACTACTGATCTAAAAATCAATCATTCCAACTACTCGCTAATCACTCTCTTAATCTCTCCGTCTTTCTCATTTCTCATCTGCTGTTCATCATGGCTCATTTGGCTACTCTCCCTCAGGTTTCCAAAACCCCATTCTCCTTTGATTTGTTTTTCTTTTTCTTTTTCTTTTTTCTTTTTTGTCTTCCATCTTATTTCTGTTTTAACAGTTGGCTGATCTTTTGTATTAGGGATTGATTATTTATTCCTTTTATTTTGTTGCTGCAGGTTTCCTTTGCTGTTCCTGCTGGAAGCGATACCACTCTAAGAAGATCTGCTTTTAAGGTAATTTTAAATTTGTTCTATGATCATGGAAGAATGTTTAAAGGCTCTGTTTAGTTTGCGTTGTACTTCAACTTTTCTTTCTAGCAAGGCGGGGCCAAACTTTTTCTTCGTTAAACATTATGAAGATTTTGGTGTCGAATGAAGGGAAATTTGGGCCGGCCTGATTTTTTAATGGGACCCACGAGGGAATTTGCTCTTTGTTTGTTCATGTTCAAAAACAAAGAAAAAAGAAATTTTTGTCTGAGTTCAGCATTTTTTTTCATTTTTCTTTTTTGATTGATACTGATGATGATGATGGGTCACTTATAAGTTACAATTATGTTAAAAATGGATTTGATTTTTGAAGGGTCGTGAAATGTGGAAAGAGAGGTTGATATTCCAAATTTTTTTTAATGATGATCTTTATCATTGTTATTATAGATAAGAAGAGTATGGTTCATCTTGCAAATGATAATACATTGAATAAGACAATTAATGACTGCTGCACAAGTTCAAACTTGACTAGAAATTAAAAAGAGAAAAATGATATGAGACTGATTTTGTGACTCTCGCACAAGTCATTCTGCTCTTGTTTTGTGCTCTTTAATTTTGAGATTTGTATTTTGCTGTATTAAGTTGTTCCTGATGAAGAAATGCTTACATTATGCTAGTTCATTCGTGTGTAGGGTACTTAGGGTGCTGACCTGTTTCTTTTTTCTTTTTCCCCCTTTCTCTGTACACATGTTTAAACAGAATGTCAATGATCTGAAGGTAGCTGAAGTTTCTTGAGTTTACTGAGTACAAGTATTGTTTGCAGCAATCACAAGTTTAAATGTTGCATTTTGTTAAATGCTTCTGCTCTTAGTTAGTAGTTACTGAAGCTCTGCTAGTCACCACAATCTTCCATCAAGTGAAGCTGCCGATCATAACAAAATATGGTTTTGTATGTGCAAGCTGCTAAGCTAGATTATTGACCCAATTTTGGTCGTATCCCAATAAGTAGTCTCTACATGAAGAGGGGACAATTAGTCCTGTTTATGTGTTTCAATCTGCTCCAATTTTCATTATGTGTATGTGTATACATGTGTCTGCTGTCCGAATGCTTTGTTCCTTTGTTTTGTATATGCATGTTCATGTAAATGTGTGCATGTGTATGCTCATTAGATCTCAAGGAAGTTGCTGTTGATTTTGTTGCAGATTCAAAATATAAGCTTTGGTGATAAATCATGGGCTCCTGCCCTAGGTTTGGACTTGAAATCAAGGAATACTGGGTTGAAAAATCGATTTGTGGTATGCATGTCTGTGCAACAAGCCAGCAGATCTAAGGTTGCCGTTTCACCTATAGAACTTGAAGATGCCAAGGAGCCTCCATTGAATATATACAAACCCAAGGAACCTTACACAGCAACAATTGTCTCTGTAGAGAGGCTTGTAGGCCCAAAAGCTCCTGGAGAGACTTGCCATATAGTGATTGATCATGGTGGTAATGTTCCCTACTGGGAAGGACAGAGTTATGGCGTAATACCCCCTGTAAGCCATGTTATTTATCTTGCCTCTAGGCCAAATTTCACAATAATTTTTTATTTTTTTTATTTTTTTTATTTTTTTGCATTAAATTGGTGATTTCTGCCCGTCTTTTTGGTGGGGGTTGGGATTGTTAAATATTGCATTGAAGAGCTAGAGGATGCATATGCTCTTCTAGTAAGCATTGGCATCCCATTTCATTTTCTTTTAGTCTGAGCATGCTGTTAACCTCTAGTTCCCAGTTGATATAGTTGAAATATAGCAGATCCAGATCTACTCAATCCAGTCTTATTGAAGAGTGGGACACTAGATTTTGCATCGAACATTTGTTCATCTTTTTTGTGGCACTTTGATAACATTACTTATATTTAACTAATTTATATTTTCTCTTTGCATCATAGGGTGAAAACCCAAAGAAACCAGGGAACCCCCACAATGTACGTCTTTATTCAATAGCATCTACCAGGTATGGAGATTCATTTGATGGCAAGACAGCTAGTTTATGTGTCCGTCGTGCTGTCTATTTTGACCCTGAGACTGGAAAGGAGGATCCTTCAAAGAGTGGTGTATGCAGCAATTTCCTCTGCAACTCAAAGCCTGGAGACAAGTTGCAGATCACTGGTATGGCCCTGCTAATTTGGTGGCAAGACTATAAGAAACGTTATGTTATTTTTTGTTTTATCATTTGTTTATTTGTACTTTTAGTTTTAGCGAGTTAAAGGATGTTCTCTTTTCTTGCTATACTCTTTAATACTTAATTCTAGATATAGACTGTTAGACAACAAATGATTCAAGTTGTTTTTTCACTTGACTCAAAGCAAAATCATAATCATTCAAGTTCTTTGCTTGAAATTTTTTTATATATTATTTTGAGGCAAAAAATGCCAAATCTCTCCTGAACTTTTATTCGTTTGAAACTCAGTTTTGAGCTTTTAATTTGTGTTTTGACTTCACTTACTTCTTCTTCTTCTTCTTTTTTTTTTTTTTTTTTTTTTTTTTTTTTTTGGTGAAATCTAGTCCATTCTATGATTTTCAGCTATCACCTCTCTGCCAAGGGAAAAAAAAATTATGGTATTATGATTTGAATTTTTGCACACATGTTAGAAAAAATCCAATCTATTTTTTGAAAAATTTTCAGAATTTTTCAAGATCGGAAATTATATTTATATTTGAACATTAAAAATGTAGAAAATACGAAAAAAGGAAAAATAACTCGAAATGATCTTAAATTTTTTAGGAAGCTTCAGATAAATCTCACTAATGATTTATATAATAGGACTTTTTATGTTATTTTATTTATTTTTTTTGAAATAAATGACAAAACTGAAGTATGAATTAAATCTTTTAAAAAAAAATTCAAGAAAATAAAAAAACAAATTAAAAGTTCAGAAATTGATTTTCAGATAGATTAAAGTTCGACAGAGGTTTGGCCCTTTTAGCCTTATTTTGATTTTAAGTTAAAAATCATTCTTTCAGCTATTTTTATTTTTATTTTTTAAATTTGATTGTTGACTTTGACTCAAGGTTCATTGAATTGCTAGCTACTTTTAGATTTAAATTAAATTCTTGTTTTAAACCATTATAATGGAATTGCTATCAAATATACTATTTAATTTAAAGCATTTGGTTTAAATTAACTTTTTTTGTGATGACTTGGTGCAAGTTTTGACCATGACTCTGAGCAATCTATAATTCATGCCAAACACTCTTTTAGCCTCTCAAGTCGTTGATAAAACACATGAAATGTCATTAGGATGGACTCAGGTGCTTCTTGGCATTGGCTAGTAACATAATTCGCATTACATGATGATCTGTTGCAAGAAACTTTATTAGCCATTAACTGTGCTAGAATATCTCTGTCAGGACCTTCTGGCAAGATAATGCTTTTACCTGAGGATGACCCAAATGCTACCCATATAATGATTGCTACTGGCACTGGCATAGCTCCATTTAGAGGTTATCTCCGGCGAATGTTCATGGAGGCTGTCCCTACATATAATTTTGGCGGTCTTGCATGGCTTTTCCTCGGGGTGGCCAACAAGGACAGTCTCCTCTATGATGAGGAGTTTACGAAGTATCTCCAGGATTACCCAGACCATTTCCGGTATGACAAGGCACTCAGCAGAGAACAGAAGAACAAGAGTGGTGGCAAGATGTACGTGCAAGATAAGATTGAGGAATACAGTGATGAAATCTTCAAACTCTTGGATGGTGGGGCCCACATCTATTTCTGTGGACTCAAAGGAATGATGCCTGGGATCCAAGATACACTGAAGAGAGTTGCAGAACAAAGAGGAGAAAAATGGGATGAAAAGCTGTCACAGCTTAAAAAGAACAAACAATGGCATGTTGAAGTGTATTGACATTGCATTTTTATGAGCTTCTTTTATTACCTCTCTTGGGAAAGCAGCAGCAGCAGTAGTGTGGCCCTGTTTGGTAATGTGGCATTTTTCATTTGTTGGTCAGCATCACATGAACTTGATTAGCTGTGACCATTCATCTATGTTGTTAAATAATCAAAAGGATTAAAACGAATCAGGAAACCTTTTGTTTGGTACTGGTAAATGATTCTTTTATTTTCTTGTATCCTCTCAACTCAATTTGTCTTTTGCTGTGTCAACTGTCAAGTACCAACCGAGAAGGTGAAATCTGTCACCTGTAGTGGCTGAAAGGGCATCAGTCATAACTCAGAAAGGTGATAGAAAGGCCCTTAAGGCACTGATTCCAAGGAGTCTCTGGTGTTTCGGCCAATGTGGCTTCAAGGCTTCTCTTTTTCAAGCATTTTAGGTTTGTTTTCTCAATGGCCATTGACCTCCCCACCTTGGCATAACAAATGTGTTTCCTTTTCCTCGCTTTGAAGAATATGGATGAAACCTAGAAGGCTAGGATACCCTAAATTTGGTTATAGAGAAATTGCAGCCTTGTGTTGTGTCCTTCCCTTTTCCTTTTGAGAAATGTGACACCTTGTCCAAATGACATGATATATTTTGTGGAGTAATAGCACCTGAGTTTTAGTTTTAATGGACTAAAGTGTTTACATGTTTGCTTGAGTCATAAGATTAGAGCTTTAAAATGGTTGCATTCTTCTTGTCACAACCATCACTCGAATCCATCTAGTGCCTTTGCCTACTAACATTTTGTTTTTTTTTTTGGTAATGGAAAGGAAAAGGGATAATCACGAATGGAGGGTAGAATAGAGCTCACCTGGTCTGGTTGGTTGATGTAACATTTAATGGAACGCAATGGATCCATTCTTTAATTCCTCATATTATTCAATCCGTCCAATAGGTAGAACCAGTTATTCATTCTAAACAATTCCCATCTCCCCTTCCACCTAAAAAAAACTAAATTCTAAACTTATTTAGAAAACTGTTTCTTTCCTCCAAGTTTGAGGATTAACAACAAGGTTATTGAACTGATGTATTCTGGAAACCATGTGTACAATTAATTATTGATCTGGTATTTAATGTAAGATTGCAGAAAGCATTTTGAAGAAAGTGGCCTAATTTGTATTTCATTTCCACCACCTCATAATTGTAACAAAATTATTAGTGATGAATCCGCTCATGTTGGTTCCAGCAGCAACAAGATGAAAAAGGCCTCGTCTCAATGGAAATGTGTGGATGTCTAGTCAATTGTGTCAAGTGCCTCGTCCATCTCTTTCACTGCTCTTGCTTTCCGGAGAAATATGCCTTATCTTGTTTTTATGCAGGCATGTTTAAGGAGAGGGTCAATTTGATGTAACCCACCTCATCATCTATCATTACTAGCTAATAAATTCTCTGGTGAGCGATACTAGTTGGCTTGTGATGGGAAGGAGATGTCAGAATCTCAAGTGGCAACACTGTTTATTTAACTAGGAAAAGGGTTCTTAAAATGTGCATTGTGGGGGCGAAGGGGAGTGGCGACACTGTTTGTTTTCATTTCTTTCTCAAGTGTGATTTGATATCCAAGCTGCAAAACAAGTATTTATGAGTGTGGAAATTAATGAAAGAAAAGAAAATATCATATAGCCAACATTGTTGCATGCCTCTTTAATATATAAATTGATCTCAACAAATTAAAAAAGATCTCATTAATTCAATTAATTTTGTTCCTCGTAACTGTGTCAGTTATAGATAAATTAGGTGATTTCTCATGTATCTTTGCGTTGAGTTATAGGATGTTTTTATTGGTTTGGAAATGACTAAGATATCGTCAAGTGTTGACTGAGATAGATTCATTGTTAGCTATACAGGTAATTCAGCTACGTACAAGGAAGGTAGTCACTTATGGTTTTCTTATTATCACGGTTAAGATAAAATTGGATAAAAACTAACAGATTCAACTCATTCATATTTATAGAAAAGCGAATAACATCATATGCTTTTTCCTTACCTTTCGATATAACTTATCTTTCTCATATACCTAGTGACTATAACAAAATCCTTCACGAGGATATATGGAGAATAGTTTTTTCAAGATTATGTAATAGTTAATTTTTAGTCTAGATGCAAGGCTCTCCTTTAAATTAAAAAAAAAAAAAAAAAGGAGGCACGCAACATGATTTTCCCATATATTCAAGCATGCTTGTAATCAGTCACATTTAGAAATTAGGTGGGGCAACTGCTCAATTAATGAATCTTCAAAGAATTGAGAAAATTTCTTCTGAAATACGTACTTCCAAGGAGTTCGATCTTGTGAAGTTATATTAAACAAGTGAATATATAGGCCATTGACGAATTTGAAAAAAAGGAAAAAAAAAAAAAAAAAAGAAGTTTCTAAGAACATCCGACTATTTTGGAATCAAGACTTGAAGACTTTTTTGGCAAGAAGAACACTAAAAATCAAGAAAATGATCCTGCAGGTCAACCAAATTAATGTCAAAATTCAAGGGCTTTCAGTTGCGTTACCCCAACAAAACATCAATCCAGCCTGGAAATTAAAAAAGAGAGTATACACTAACCCATAAAAAGACTTTTATAAAAGTATTGTACCATTTATTTATCAAAAAATAATTCATAATAATTAAATTAAAATTCTATCTCAAATTAAGTTAATGGTGCTCCTTTAATATCATTTAGCCACTAAAAACTGACATAGTTTTTGTCACCATATTATGAGCGTCCGTGTGTGCAAGTTTTGGAGCTTTACTCGTTCCCTTCTCTCTCTCTCTCCCTCTTCACCAGAAGAACCAAATGACCAATCTTGTAAGGCTTGCATTTTATTAAAGTTAGAGTTTAATTCATTCACAACGTTTCACTGGTAATTAATTATTCTATTTAGATCATTCTATCTTTCTCATTTCTTCTTTTCTGTGTTTTTGTTAAGGCCGTCATTTCAACAATTGGAGTTTTCCTTTTTCCCTTAATTTTTCTTTTTAATGATGCCAAATCTGTCTATCATTTATGATTGTTTTTTTTTTTTTTTTAATTCATCAATCACATAATTTTGATTCATTTATCCATTTCTTGATGTGACTTTTTTTTTTTTTTTCTCATTACCAGCAATGCCAATATTGTTCCTCTGTGTTTTTTTTTTCTTTTGGATGCTGAGAATTGCTTTTGGGGAGCCATATTAGAATTTCTCTCATTTGGGTTCTGCCTAAAGAGAACAAAAATTAATCTTTTGCTTTGCGTTCAGGAAATAATTTCTTGCACCCATTTTCTGGGGTATCATTATAGGTCTACATCCATGATTCCAATTTATCTGCAACCAAAAGCAAATAGTGTTGTGTTTCCTCTTTTTGTTTGGTGCATTTGTGCCTATGTTCTTAATATGCCTTGTTTTGAGTTCTCTAATCTAATCCGCCATGGATTTCCTTTGTTGGCTAAATTGAGAATATATCAGGTTCCTGGTCAAAAGAGAAATGCTTTTTCATTTTTTTCAAAGATTTTAGTTTTCATACCTTTAATATTGTTGTTGCTGAACTGGGTTCTTTTTTTTATTTGTTTGTTTTGGTGTGCAGATAACTTGGTGAAGAAAGGATTTGTTGGATGATTTTTTATTATTACCAAAGCAATGAGCCGTTTGTCAGACCTTCATTGTGCCTCAGGTATGCTGGTGAAGTAGCAATAAAGTATAACAATAGTCAACAGGCTTACTATTGTAATTTTAATGTTTTCTAATGTTAAAGTTTTGAGTGAATCACAATAACCCTCTTGAGTTATTATAAAATTATAAAAACTATCCAAAAGTTTGAATATTTGCTAGAAACATCCTATTATAACCAAAATAGAGAAATAATATTAAAAAATAAACTTGAACAAAATTCAGTGAAATTAAAAAAGTGAAATTCATATTGTTTATGGACTAAAAAATAATCATGTCTCAATTTTTTTTTTTAAATTCTTTTTCATTTTTTTTTAATTCTTAATGTAACTATTTTTTTTTTAAATGGATAAATTGTAGTATCCTCTTTGGAGTATGAGAAATAATATAAAAAATAGAACATGATTATTTTTTGGTACATGAACAATATTAATATCACTATTTAAATTCTTACTCTAATTTTCTTAAAAAAAAAATTAATTTAATTATTATTTTTTTCTAAATAGCAATTAAAGGCAGTTTGAGGATAATGTGAGGTTTCAATCAAATCTTCAAACTTTTGGATGTTTTTCCAATTTCATAATACGTTAGGGGATTTATTATAATTTACCCTTTTTAAATGTTAATTAAGAACATTTTGGATATAAAATGAGGTTTCTACAATATTTTCTTACAGATGAAGTTTTTGTCAAATCTTCGAACTTTAAGAAGATCTTTGTAATTCTGTAAAACCTCAAGGAGGTTATTGTAATTTATCCTAAAATTTTTTCCGTTAGCTCTTATTCTTTATTTAGAAGATAGAAAGAACAAATTAAGGATTTTCCCTTGCTAAGCTTTTGTTTAGATGTTTATCATCAAGTGAAAGTGGAGTATTCCCTTATTCCTTGATGCTTTAGATTCTCTACAAGAAATGAAATGGAGCTTTCTCTCACTTATGGAACTCCATATAATTATTTGTGGGAAATTGATGGCTGTCATGTAACCAATCATATCATGTTGAGTTGTTTCTTAGACACAGATGCTATTAGGATCATAAGTTGGTATTATTTTGTGTATCTTCATTTTAAGCAACATTTCTTAATTGCAAAATGCTCAACTTTTGTAGTTTGACCATGGAAACTGGAAATCCAACTCACCCCTAATGTAAAATTCCTTTTGACTTGTGATAACTTTAGACATGATATGGAGTTTCGACTTTATTTTCTTTTGGTAAGATAGCAGAATTGAGGTACTTTTCAAGGAATTTTTTTCTAGAAATTTGTACAGTAACTGCTCGTTAAGAGTTTCATCAATCTGCTATGTTGAAGAAACTTCATGTTTGCTTGAATAATACAGGACTGCCCTACCATTTGTAAAGAAACATGAGCTGTGTATATTTCTCATGGCCATCTCTTTCATATTGTGGAGAATAAATAATCTTGTATACTATGGAATTCGAACCAAGTTGGAGAAGGTCTTGATTACATGCTGAATTTTGTATTTATTTCCTCAAAGAGGAATATACTGCATCCCTACCTGACATGGATTTTTAATGAGACTAGCCAAGTTGCATTTATTCTACAAACTACATTTTGTTCATAGAATGAAAATCGTGTTGGTTTTTCTTTAGCTTGTAGTAAATGTGCAATCATGCTACTTGTTGAAAATCTTTAGTCTATGATCTGAAATCAGTACGATATTGTTGTTAGATGTGAGGAATGATTAGAGGATGAATGAGAGTACTCCTTTATTGTTCACAATGCTTTTGTTCCTTTATTTTTTTCACCCTCCTCCCTACTTTTGTTGATGAACATATAAATCATATACAACATGTATTTTATTGTTTTCTATTGGAGCTCAGACACTTTTCCTTTCGCTGGATCAATGAGTATGTAAGATTCCATGCTTTTGGTTGTATAGTCTGCAAATAAATAGCTTATCTTTTATCTTTTTTAATCATCTTAATTCTTCCCATTCTATCTATTCTTCCCACCTTTTCCCATTTTCAGTATCAATTTACTTGATTGCTTTATAATGATTATCTTATCTGTTTTATATACTTAATCGCAGCATTTTGTGAATTTTTTGCAAAGGTAAAAGAAGATTAAAAGATTTATTGCTCCAAAGTGATAATCGCTTTTGTGCTGATTGTGGTGCTCCAGATCCTAAATGGGCGTAAGTTGAATAATGTTAACATCTTACGGTTGTGAATATGCATATTAATAAAGCTAAAATGCACACTTCTTATTAGCAAACTGAAAATTGAAATTTTGGGTGTATATTTCTGGGCAATTAACTATTTAAATTGAAGAGATGTGAAGAATTAGAAATTTTGGTTATTTTATTTTATGACCCTGCTTTTTAAAGAAACTTAGTAACATTCTTTCCTCCAGATCAGCAAATATTGGGGTTTTCATATGCTTAAAATGCTGTGGTATGCACAGAAGCCTCGGTACACATATCTCAAAGGTAGTTATTCCTGATTTCCTCTAATTTTATTTTCTTAGTGTTAGGACCTGATGGTCATAGGGAAGTATAATCCAGTTGGTTATGAATTGCAATCTGAGTGACAATATTTACTTGCACTAGGGAATAGACATGAGAACTTGTGCCAGCTTTGGAATGAAACTCAATAATCTCTTTATCCTTAACCTTTTTGTAGTGCCCTTCTGCTGAGAATTTGATTGAACATATTGAATGAGAACCATTTTTTTTTTTTTTTTTTTGGAATGGAAATTTCATTAGATAATACATCAACATGGAATACAATGAATACATCAAACAAAAGTACTTTGTCCTCCAAGTAGGTATCCTATCGCTCAGTATAGGAGAAGTTAACGCATAATAACACACTTAATTCGCTCAAGATCCTATCTTTACATGGAATATGTTCCTGTTATAGGTTTTTGATGGAAATTGGGATTCACATCAACATTTTGATCCACTTCCTTCAATTCAGCCGCAACAATGCCTCTGAAGCATTTGCCTTAGTTAAAGCAATAAAAATCGCCTCACTAAAATCATACACTAACAATTGTCCCCCATGTACAAAATTTTTATCTAGTGAAACTATCTATACAATTGTCAATGACTCTCCAATAATTCATCTCCGTGTCTCTCATCTACTTTAATGAAAGCACTTACTGCAACAACAAACTTTGTGCCCATCTAGTAGCAAGCTGTTAGCACCTTAGCCTCCTTCTTGGAATGTAGAAGTGATGATCTCACATAAAAATAGGATCTATTAAGATTCGACTTGCTTTTCCATCCTAATTTGCTTTTAAACTTCACTTGATATCTCCAATCTTTTATTCTCTTTGATGTGGTTTCTTGAGGAAAATAAAACTTGAACAACCTTATCACCCATTTCCTTTTGTTCTAAGAAAATAGTCAATTCCCAAGCCATCCGCATCTTATATTTCACAAACATGGTTTTGAAGGATTTGTGAACAAGAAGTTGTTTGTACATGCTCCAATTGCAAACTTGTTGTATCTGATTCACTTCATTAATTGAGAGCATGATAGTAACATCAGCCTCCATGATTGAGTGCGATTTACAGTCCTAGACTAGAGCCTAGTATTAGAAACACTGATATAGAAGTGAAGATAAACTAAGTGTAACAAAGAAAATAATGAGAAACAAAAGAGATAAAGAATTCAAAAAAGAATGACAAAAGATTACTTAGAATTTACATTTTGTAAGTAAAGAAGAATGAAGAAAATCAAAGTTAGAAACTGAAAAGATAAACCTCACACGTAAATGGGAGAGAGAATGCTTCCTATCGTAGAAGAGAAAAAGTACAACCTGCTCCCTTCTTAGATTAGCATTGTCTGACATATATTAGATATTAGGATAGGTAAGAATTGATGTAGAACCAACTGATGAAAACAAAAAATAGCACAAATCAATTTCTCAAGAAAATCAATTTATTGAAGAATCAAAGCATGATACATAACTTGAATGCATAGCTAGAGTGCTCATTTATAGGCAACAAAATAAATAATAAAAGTGAAAAGCCAAATTCTTATAGTATTAGGAAACTAAAACATTGAAAGTCGTCATCCTAATAGGGATAGAGGAACCTACTAAATAGTACTAAAGAACTAGAATAATCATAGAAAATCAAATTCCATACAATCAATACTAATCCCATTGTAGTCTTTCTTCATTCCTTGTCAAAAGTAGTTTTTAAGAACACACTATTTTGTTGCATTTGTCTCATAATTTTAGACATTTCTATTTAAGTTAACTAAACCTAGGTGAATGATGCCTTACCTCACTTAAGATCCACTCCCGATGGAATGCGATTGTGGATTTTATTCTTCTTGAAATGACTTAAAAAAAAAAACAAAAAACCATGGATTTAATTATTATGATGTTTTATTCATTGATTTGTAAATGTCATAAGGTGCAACGAATATGATATTTTTGTGTTTTCCGAAAAGTACATGTTACTTGCATAGATGCAATCATTTGATGATTTATAAATGAAAGTTCTTTTTCAAGAGAAATAGAAAGAACAACTGGATTACAGGAGCACAAAATGAAAGGTTGAATTATCCAGAATAAATTATGGTCTATGTTTACATCCAGGAGCATATTTGGATCAAGAAGAAAAAGTAAGGTCCCCAATTCTGTTCTTTCTTGTTTTCAATTAGTCTCTTGTTTTATACTCAGGGCTTCTTAGTTTCATCGGCGTTGACAGCAACACAAGTTTAATCTGAACTGCTCACAAAAGCTTCTAAATCGGCCATCACATAAATAGTTGACCTTTCGAGTTTCTTTTATCGTTCAATTTTATTATTAGTCACCCTTTGTGTGTAAAGATGAAATAAGAACGACCTTTAAAGTTTTTGTTTTTGTTTTTGTTTTTTTTTTTTTTTTTTTTGAGTATGTGCTTGTGTTTTAAAGTATGAACTGTAATTGATGTCTATATGATGCTTACAACTGATCTTTCTCTGTCTTCAAGCAGACGATCCTTCTATTTGAAACATGATTAATTTTGGATTGTACAGGTTTTATCTGTGACTTTGGATGAATGGTCTGATGATGAAATTGATGCCATGATCGAAGTTGGAGGAAACTCATCTGCTAATTCAATTTATGAGGCCTTTTTACCTGAAGGAGTCTCAAAGCCAGGACCAGATTCTAGTCATGAGGAGCGTAAGAGGTTCATCAGGTTAGAAATGACTTGCCTTTCAACACTTTACCTGCTAACCTTTCATTTTTTTTTTTTTTTCTTTCTTATCAGTGTAAAACTTATATGGATGGATTAAGTCACTTTTATTACAGATTAGATCTTGCATGATTTTATCCCAAGACAGTTACTGATGTTTGTAGATTGCTTGTTAATTGTGTTTACATGTATTATTTCAATTCTCATAGGTTGAAGTATGAGCTTCAAGAATTTTTGAAACCTAGTTTACGGATTACATCGGGGAAGTCTTCATCATCTTCTCTCAAGTCAAGTTTTTCCACAAAGCTTTTTAATAGTTTTCGAAATTCAAGTGTATCACAGAATTCGGTAAATTTTTCTTTGCCTTTTTTGTTTCCATACTTTCTCTTTCATACTTGGATAACATTGAGAATTTGTTACAGGAAGGAATGGTAGAATTTATTGGATTATTGAAGGTCAAAGTTAAAAAGGGTACAAATTTAGCTATCAGAGATATGATGTCAAGTGATCCCTATGTGGTCCTTACTCTTGGGAAACAGGTTAGTGAAATTTGTTTCTTTATTCTTACTTATAACCATTTCTTGGTTGAGACAGGTTCATATAATACATAATTTCTATTTGCAAAGTTAGATGCAGACTTTTGGCACCAAGTAGAGATTCTTTTTATCTATTTTTTCATCAAGGGTAATACTTATCACAATCATTTGATAAATGGCTGATACCAATATACCATTCCATTGGCTAGCCAACTAGTCGAAACCTTAAACTTTGCTGCAGTTTCATAAATCTTCTTTCACTGCAGTGGAAAATATATGTAATTTTCACCTTGCATGGAGTTTCATATATATCTTCATTAGGACGTATCAATTTTGATTGATGGAATAAATATTTTAAATTATTATTAAGCTAGCGAAGGGGATGCTTTGACTTCTATGCTAGTCACCGATCATAAAATGTGTTTTTGTGTTACTAGACTGTTCGAACCACTGTGAGGAAGAGCAACTTGAATCCAGTTTGGAATGAAGAACTCATGCTATCTGTTCCGGAAGATTTTGGTGCCATAAAGTTGGTGAGTTTGCTTATAATTTTTATGAGTGAAACTCTTTAGATGCTTTATTTCCATGATGATGAAAATTCACTATTTACCTAGGTATTTTACTTTTTAACTTAATGTGGTCTATAATACCTGCATATATAACATGTGTTTGAGTAAGGGTTGTGTTCATGTACTCCTTTAGAAGACATAAACAATTTATTGGATACAGTACTTGTGTTGTTGTCGTTACTTATGAACCACTACTTCCGTGGTTATCTCTAGCAATTAGACAAATACTTGTATTGCTGTTGCTGAAACTACTTTGCTATATCTCATTAAACTAATCATTCCATCTTTATCTGTCAATGAACAAATTCCTGGTTATTCTAAATTGGCTTATAGGTTGACCTATTTGTCTTACTTTTTGATGTTATGCATTGTAGAGTGTTTTTGATCACGACACATTTTCTGCTGATGACATAATGGGGGAAGCAGAGATTGACATCCAGCCATTGATAACATCAGCAATGGCATTTGGAGACCCAGAAATGTTTGGAAATATGCAGATAGGAAAATGGCTGAAATCAAATGACAACGCCCTTGTAGATGATAGCATCATAAACATTTTTGATGGGAAGGTGAAACAGGAGATCTCTTTGAAGCTCCAGAATGTTGAATCTGGGGAACTAGAAATAGAACTAGAGTGGAAGCCTGTTGACCAGTAAATAGAAAATTTTATTTCACCCTTCCATCTCAATAAAAAAAATAAAAATGTAATAACGGTTGAATTATTCATGTCGAATGACCATATATTTAACTATCCATTTTATCCATTCACTCTTCTTGTGATTGCTTTATTTGTAGCTTGTAAGAGGCAACAAATTGTTTGTTAACTCTTGACAATTTGCAGTGTGTAAATTATGTTGTTTTAAAACATATAGGGAGCAACATGTACGGAAGAAAACACGTTATTCATTTTTTGTAGTTCATCATGAAATTGGAGTTGGAAGAAATTTTTTCATCAGCTATTGTCTGCCATATCTTTATATGGGTAATAGCAAATTCAAATTACATATTGTTTTCGATTCTCATAGTGGTTATTAACCCCACGAGAACCGTAATTGATGGTATATCCCCGAATCAATAACACTTTTTAATTATGACTTTTATGTCTTTTAATTCTTTGTCTTAATTTTTTTTTTTTATGTTTCTCCCTATGACATTACTCAAGCCGTGACTCTTTTGATTGAGTTTAGAAGAGACAGCTAGAGCTATCTATCTATTCCCTCTCTTCCCTAAATTTTCTTAGTTAGGGATCGAAAATCATTATTTTCAGATAACACTTGTACACATATTCGCAAAAAAGAATTAGATTTTTTGGGGCTTTGATGAAGCTGCTAGTGAATAACAAATAAAAGAAAGGACAAATCACAAGACGTAAAGGAAGGAAGAAGACAAATAAAGCAGTGGAGATTTGCTCAAATCAAATCTATTCAGCAAAGATAGCAATAAAATAATGATCGGCCATCTATTGTCACAGCAGCAAAATATAAACTTTGAAAAAAATGGTAGTCAAAAGAGTACCTCAAACTACCTCTACAGGGAGCTTTGAATTCAAACTGATTTTTTTTTTTTTTTTTTTGACAATCTGAAAAAAAAAAAAAGAAGAAAAGAATTCTCTCTTGGCTTTCTCTGGCACAAACTAGGATTTCCCATAGGGTTTGGTTGTGGCTATGCCACTAGAAGACCATGGGTAGCCATCAAATAAACCCCTCTTAACAAAGAGATTTAGAAGAAGACCGGGGGAAAAGAAAAAGAAGAGGAAGAAGGTTTTGAGAAGAGAATTCTCATTTGATTTATTGTTACAACTCGAATTGAATGAATTTCATAATTTCTTTCTTCCTCCTTTTATTCTAATCATTAACGGACTCCGCTAGACTCATCTAACATTGTAATTAATTGCCACATAAACAATTAATATACAATTGGTTCTACAATAGAGAACCCTAATGTTAGTGTAGGTGCCCAAGATTTAACCTTATTGGATGGTTTCATGTATTGTAACATTGCATTTTAATATTGTAACACCGTAATTAATTGCCACATAAGCAATTAATATACGAGTTGGTTCTTTAATAAAGAATCCTAATGTTAGTATAGGTGATAAGGATCCAACCTTATTTGGATGATTTGATGCATTGTAACATTGCATTTTAATATTGTAACACCGTAACTAATTGCCACATAAGCAATTAATATACGATTGGTTCTTTAATAAAGAATCCTAATGTTAGTATAGGTGATAAGGATCCAACCTTATTTGGATGATTTGATGCATTATAACATTGCATTTTAATATTAATAAAAAAATCTTTTTATTAATTATCGTTATTTATAATTTGATAGAATTAGATAGCGAGTTTATATAATATGCATTGCATTGATGATTGATCAATGGATGTGAGACAAATATTAATGCATTTAAATGACATCATTAAATATTTCAAGTCGTAGCATTGTCAAGATTAGACATTGTTTATATTGAGTAAAACTTGTGAGTGCTATGTTTTTGCTATAAGATAGTAATAGGAAATGTCACACCTATTGGCATGATGATGCCAAAGCAAGCACTTATGTGATTAATATTAGAGAACATATCACAAGACATGACTTGCCATGAGAATCTATTTAGTTTAGTCTATGAAAATCTCATACAAGATGGGTACAACTAGTTCTTTGATTTAAAGTCATTACGCTTATCTCATTTGAGGATTGATGTACTTTGACATTCGTTTTGATGGACTTTGTAAAGAGCTTTATAAAGGTGATTCGTTAGGTACATTAGGAATCTAATGGAGATATGTGGATGATTTAGATAAGACATATCATTGTTTATATGCTAAAAAAATTATCACATTGCACTTCGATAAATGTTTACTTAAGAATTTTGTGACCACGGTAGAAGTATACCAATAGAGCATGATTGGTTTATTTATGAGTTAAGACATTTGGAGATCGAAGAAAAATTGTGTGATCATAATCGAATAAACTATAAACCAAGTTTGAAATCACACTCGATAAATTGATATAAGGACTAAATTGTATGGAAACCACCTCGTGAAAGGTAATTACGGATTCATTAATCCTCCTAGAGAATTGGATAGTTATGATGTCTTGTTAGAGGCTAATATTGATTTATATATCAAGAGATAAAAAAAATATGTCTTTTATCTTCTTGATACATTGTCAATGTATTTAGGAGCCTATTGAGTGACATGCATAAACTTAAACATTCACACGATAAAAGAGAAGCAAAGGTTCTTGAAAAACGTTTCCTGGTTTAAAAAGTTTTCCATTTTAGAAAGTTTCCTATTTTGAAAAGTTAGTTTTCTATTTTAGAAATCAGTTTTCTAATTTGGAAGTCCATTCAAAATTTGGAAGACGGATACTTAAAAATGAAATTAGTTTCCTAATTCGAGTTTAAGGGTAATTTAAGAAATTATTTTCTAATATCGGCTCCACTAAAATACTTTGATCCAATTTATTTGAATGATCCAAATTAATCGGTAATAAATTAGGCTAAAAGAGTTTGGGCTAATAGGCTTAATTTCAAAGTTTATAAGATATTTTGATGGAAGGATAAACTTAAATACTATTGGATAAGGCTAAGGTTTACAAGAATAAGGTTAGTAAAGCCCGTATAGGCAGCATCACTTTGACCTACAAAGAGAAGTTGTCTCCCCTTATAAATAAAAGAGAGAGGGACGGCAAAGAAAAAAATTACAACTAACGCACAAAAGAAAGAAAAGAGAAAAAGGTTCTCTCCTTCAAGCTTGCCACCTCTCTTTCTCCCTAGGAGTTGTCACATAAAATCCTTGAATTGATTTCTCAAAAGAAGAATAAACTAATCAAAAAAGAAGAAGCTAGCACTCAATAGTTTCGATTGCTTCTTGCATGGTGTTTGAACTGTATTGATAATCAATAAAAGTCGGATACTTGGATGACATCTTCCGCATAAGATTGTTTCTACGCTACAAGAGGTAATCATTATCCATTATCTTATTTATATTTATAATGTATGATTAGTTAATTCAACGACATGATCTTGGAAACCTTAGATGAAGGAAAATTTTATTTATTCCGCACCTCCATAGGATACATGATCCTTTAATTCCTAACATTACCCTCTCCTAGACAAAGTATCCTTGTCGTTAAGGATAAAATCAAAGCTAAAGGAACTATGCCTACATATCATACAAAACTTCCTATGTAGCATCCTCTTTAGACAAACTACTCCATTATATCAGCTCCATCACTTCAACCTAGTTATTCCTCTTCATAATCTTCCTATCAAGCAAAACTACTAGAGATAGCTTCATATGGCCATCATCATCAATAGATGATAAATAAGTAGAAACTATCACACTCGTTACCCACCTTATTCTTTAATAACGAGACATGAAAAATAGGATGGATTAGAAATCCCGAGGGCAACTCTAACTTATAAGCCACCTTTCTAACTCGTTACGGAATAGAATAGGGTTCATAGTATCTTGGATTCGGTTTAAAATTCTTTTACAAGGCCACACTTACTTGTCCGTAAGGCTTGAGTCTCAACACTACCGGATAAATGGGATTTAGCGACGGGCAAACCCGTCGCTAAATAAAAAAACCGTTGCTAAAACGTTTTAGCAACGGTTTAGCGACGGTCAAGTAACCATCGCTAAAAACCTCATCGGTGTTTTTTAACGAAGGTTTAGACCGTTGCGAAATTAGCGACGGTCTAAAACGTTGCTATTCCGTCACTAAATGTCAATGTAAACAGTTAGGACATTAGCGATGGTTCCGTAAACCCTTGGTATGACCGTTGCTAAATAGGGATGGATTAGCAACGGTCTTGACCGTTGCTAAATTGTTGGCAACGGTCAATTTGGTAACGGTCGGACCGTTGGTAATATTTTATTTTTAGCGATGGTCTAGACCGTTTCTAAGACCGTCGCTAATTGAAAAAATAAATTTATTTAAAACAATAATAAAATGAGGTCAAAGTAACAATTTTAAAGTAGCAAAAATCTCGTAAAATATCGTAAACGTAAATTTTTATTATTCAAAATGTATTAAAACGTCGCTAAACAATTACATTATTGTTAAATAAAAAAACAAGTACATCGGTTGCAATTAATACAAGAAAACATAAAATCTAAAATAAGTTAATGTCTAGGATCAATTGGAGGTCGGGTGGAGTCGTCCGGAGGCCGGGTCGAGTCGTTGTCGGTCTCGGGAACGATGGATGAACTACCACCACGCTCAAAATGCCGCATGAACATCTGCTACATCCGTGACATCATCGTAAACTCGCTCTCGACTATTGTTTCTCAACTCAATCGTGGTATCCAACAACGATGCCACTCGGCCTCGTAAGTCGCTCACGTACCCTCTAAGTTGTAGATGTGCGTCGTGTTTGCGGATGTTTGCTCTTGAATTTCCTTCAACCGTGCCTCATCGACCGCATTGAATCCGAAAGTAGCGGAAGATGAGCCCGCATTGACATTTGAATAATAGTGAGATGTATGTGAGCCAAGTCCGTACATCCTCTTCCTCCTACTATCTCCTCCACCAACGACCCTTTGAAAGATATCATTAATGTCGGGTGCGGTCGCTTCGATCCTTCCCAACTGTCGGCTAGCAACCTTTTCCTCATTAATTAATCTTTGTATGGTCTCTC